TTTTGCATAATACATTTTAAAACATTTCTTTATATCCTTCATATATCAATTAAATTTAATCTTTATTATGTCATGTAGTCTTCAGTCGTGTCACACAGCTGTAGCTATAGCTAAGCTAACCGCCCTGTTGAGTACAAGCTCGTGCATTTGTTTGCTGCGGCACATTGCAAAGTGCAGCAATGCAGCACAGCAACAGCAGCAACAGCAACAGCAGCAACAGCAGCAACAGCGACAGCAGCAGCGTAGTTGACGCCAGCTGCGACTGCGGCGGCAACATCATTTGAACTGTCATTAAACTTTGACTATCATCCTTTTATTATTTGGAGCTACCGTTGCCTGGCCCATGTTGCAAGCGCTGCTGCTGTTGCCTCATTGTTGTTGCTGCCAATTGTTGCAGCATTTTATATATATTTCGTTGTTGTTGTTTTCTGTTTTTTTTTTTTTTTTTTTTTTTTTTTTTTTTCTGCATTGCGCCTGCTTTGTTGTCGCTGCTGGCGTTGTTGTTGCTGGCATTTTGTTTTGTTTTCCCTAACACGTGAGTTCACCGCAGCGCACGTTGCAAGTTGCTGTTGTTGCTTTGGCCTTTGTGTTGCTGCCAACAAGAGCAAAAGCGCTGCATGGCTTACAATATTTGTGTTATGAAGTGTGCGAGTGTGTGAGCGCACACACACACATGCCAACATATGTGCATGCATTTTTTTATGCCGTGCTCTCCTCTCTGATGTGTCGTAATAGACGTCCTTTATTATGGCCAGTTGCATTTTGTAATATGCATTTGTCAACACAAAAGACTCGGCTGCCCCGCCGCTGTTGGCCAACTTCAATTGCAGGTGAAATGCTGGCTAACGAGCAACTCCACTCGACTCGACTCGACTCAACTCAACTCCTAAAAGGCAATACAGACTGTGCAGCTTTGCCGCTTTTGGCCATCTATTTGTCATCAAATGAAATTTATGGCCAAACGCAATGAGACAACGAGCTATTCCCATAGCCAAGTGTCATTGCGGTAAAGGGTTCAAGAAGTATTCTATGGATCGGAAGGATGAGAGTACAAAATAAGTGATAAGCTTTTCTTTTTCAATAAAATTACAAATTTTAAGTCTGAGTTCCTCAAATAGATCTCTAAGCACCTTCAGTGAGACATCGACTTGCTGAGTTCGATAATGCGATACTTAGGTGTCATCGTTGCTGGATTCGGATGAACTGTACTGTGGTACTAGCGACTGAGCACGCACGGACAACGTCACCTCATCACGATCAATGTGCTTAAAGTATTCGGCGGTATGTGGATCCGGTAAGTGGGTGTCGGCGCGTTTCGTCTGAGTGGCGACCAGGGAGTGGCGCTTGATGTAGGCCTCGCGAAGCTCCGGGTCCGGTGCCTCTCTGTCGAATGGTGCTTCATCGAAGGTGATCTCAGGCAAATGCTGGACATGGCCACCGTGCTTTATGTACGCTGCCAGCTCCTCCGCCGTCATATTTTTGGTCTTGATGAGCTCTGTAAAGGCGCGCTTGGCCTCCAGCTGCTTGGCCTGTGAGCGCTTCAATCGATAGAAGTCCTCGCGCTCGAACTCCTCCAGCTCACTGCTGATATACTTGGCCGTTGCGGCCAGCTGCGGCAGGACTACAAAGTCCAGGGCATTGACTCGCATGTTGGTCTGATGCGAGGCGTGCGTCAACAGGCGCAGCATGTACTCGAGCGATGCGTAGTCGACGATCATCTTCAGCGCGTCTTGAAAATTCGTGCGCACCTTCGCCACCTGTTGACCACCGCAGTTGAGGCCAACTAGCGGCTGGGCGTACATGTCGGAGATCTCCAAGTCGAAATAGTTCAATGTCACGCCCACGATCTTCTGCTGGCGCCTGCTCAAGTATGTGGTTGCCTTCTTTTGGTCGGTGACAGTCAAGGGCTTGAAGTCCGCGCCCAGCAGGTTCGCCTTGGTCACTGAGAAGATGGCGTTGCGCATCACATCATCCAAATTATCCCCCTTGGCGACCATTTGGGCCTTCAGCTCCCGCAGCTTCATATCGATTGCATCGCGCTTGCGCATCAGCAGCCGAATGCCACGCTTGGCGGCCAGGATCTTTTGACTCATCAGCACCGCATTGGCGCGAGATGGAAATATCTGAATCTTGTTGTTGACAGCCATCTTGCAGCGGCACCCACACCTCGCACCAAGGACTTCCTGTCACTGGCTCTCCTCGCCACAGCCAGCTGAACGAGCCGGGAACTCCTAGAAATATTCTTTGAAAAACTTAAAATTTATTTAAAAGCTTGACTTAAAAATCATTTTGTACTTTTGAAATTATTATCTAAAAAGTAAATTCAGTTACCGTGCCTCGAAATAAAAATTATATATACATATATTTATTAAAATGTTTGAGGCCTCTTGTAGTCTTAAAGAATATTTTCAGAGATCGAGAGATCAAGTTTAAGTTATCGTCTAAAAACAAGTTAAGTTGATCTAGCCACGAAAAATAAATATGCATATATTTAAATTGAACTTATTTAAATATTTAAGAAATTTGACTGTCTTGAAATAAAATACGAATTCTATAAATTGAATTGAACACTGATAATTAAGTAAAGATTTAATTTCTATATATTTTATAATATTTTACAGTCCTTAATTGAATAAATTATTATTATAAACAAGTAAGAAGGCTCCAGTCGAGACTGCTCGACTAGGAGATACCCTGAACCCTCCAAGCTGATATTCTAATCATTCTGCACTTCTTTTATGCACATATACATACACATGCATCCACACGCACGCATAAGCCTGCGCTCTGCTAACTGCGCAGTAAGCAGCGACTGCGCTTGGGCTGCGCTGCAGTGTGGGCAATATTATGAGAATTTATTTGTTAAATAATTTCTTTTGTAGACATACGATCTTAATGAAACTTTTAGAGCGTAATCATATGGTGAATATGTGTGTATATTCCAAAGCCCAAGTCTCTAGTATTTGAAATACGCTTTTTACAAAAGTGAGGGTGAGGGGGTGAATTTAAGGGTGGGGGGTAAATTTTAACAAAANAATGGGTTCAGGGTATAAAAATGCTATATAATATTTTCAAAAAGCGAACTAAACTATAAGCTGAGCAAATATAATATTAAATTATACCTAGCTGTCATTGAATATTTTAAAAATTTTTATGTTCAGTATTTTAAATAATTTATATCAAAATATTTAATATTAGTGCAAGCAACTTTACATAAAATGTGATTTCTTTGGTCTTACTAATATTCAATGTGAAATTAATTTGTATTTATAGCTTATTGCGATTTATTTTTTAATAATATATAGTAAGAATATAAAAATGTTTGTGTACATATATTCTCAATAGATTGTACATCCGCATTTAAATTTAGAATATACCAAAATAACTTCATACTAAAAATCACTATATACAATATACTTACCAAACAAAATAACATCAATGTCTTTCTACTATTATATGATATAGTTTTTGCTTCAATTTAGCAGTTACAGCTGGAATTTCAAACTGGAATTAAAGCAGGAAATGTATTTGTGCCTTGTTAAACACACACACACTCACATATAAACACACGAACTCTCATACAGGACTTGTAAAATTGTTTGCTTTTCAATTTGAACAACGTCTCTTTCAATATTTTCATTGCATTTCCGTTATGAAAGTATTTGCCTTAGTGCAGCTTGGGCTTGTTATGATTTCAACTTGTTGCACGTGAAATGCATAACATAATTTTTACTCCGCCCGCAGCCGTGGCAGCGACTAGCGACTAGCGACTCTTTGGCCCTTGAATATAGTCCAGGCACGTAAAGCCTGCAGCCGCCAGAGCCGTTCTCAGTCTCAGTTCCTTGAGACTCGAGCTCCACATGCGGAAGTTCTGCCTCGGCAGCGAGAATTTCAATGCAGAGCGCTTAAAGTGCAAGTGCTGCAATGGAGGCTTTAATTGAAATTTGTAGTTGACGGCTGCGGGATAGGGGCGTGGCCCACAGAGTAGATTAGCTACGTACATACGTACATATATGCAATTCGAACAGTTTCTGCCTAGGAAACATATGGCAAAATGCAATTGCTTCTGCCTCTGCCTTTGCCACAGCCTTTGCCTCTGCCTCTGCCTCTGCCTTTGCCTTTGCCTTTGCCTTTGCCTAGGCCGACAGGCAATATGCTGCGCCGTCAACATTAATTTTGTATGATTTGCATTAATATCGCCCGGAACTTGACATATATGTCATTTACTTGCAGGCAATCGAATCAAATTGCCCACGCAGCAGCTAGGGAACTGCTCTCTCTCTCTCCTCTCTTTCTATTTCTCTCTCTCTCTCCCTCTCTCTCTCTCTCTCTCTCTCTCTCTCTCTCTCTCTCTCTCTCTGGGCCAACTCGTTTATGGAGCTGGAAACTAGAAAAGATTTGCTCATCTATCGCAGCTGCCAGCTAAATACTCTAACAAATAATTTAGAGAACTATTTATTGTTAAATTGATTTTAATAATTCTTTCATTCTTTTATCAAAATTTCTTTAGTTAATTAAAAAAACGGCGACTTCTCTGTGAATAGTTCTGTCTGTTTATAAACATATCAAGAACCGATATACCCTTGGTGGGGCTAAGTGCATACGAGCAGAACAAAGTGCAATCATTTTTGCATCGAGCACGATTTATAATTCAATTTTTTGCATTACCTAATTAAAAGTCGCTCAGTACGCTTGACAAGCAGCCGAATGGGCAGTGGGAGGCGGGGCAAAATTAACTCGGCCCACACAGCTGACAATATCCGGTTTAATGCTAACAAAAATTCGAAAAAAAGGAAAATTGAGGAAAAGCGACGGAAAAAAATGCAACAGCCGAGCGTAAAATTTGCTTGCAGCTATTAAACGGAACTTGGAAAAAAAATGAAAAATAAAAGAAATAAAAATAAAAGGACGCTCGAATTGGTGAACGAATCGAATTTCAATCAATTAATAAATGTGCAAATTAAATAATTGGCGTCACTCTTGTGGCAAAAGGCAATTCGAGAGGCGACATTCCTGCGATATCATATTAAATATTCAATTAATAACAGCATCACAGGGTAGCGTTGCTCAGCAACTTCAAATGGTCATGCCTGCAGACATAAATGGGATATACATATATATAAGTATATTGAATGAAATTATATTGAATTCCAGATGACAAATTCCCAGTTGACATTATTCGAAAATTTACTTATTAGATAATTAACGTTTTTGGCGACTGGTTTTTTTTNACATCTAATGCAGATGCCACCACCACTTCTGTCCGGTCCTGTGCAGTTGGTCTGCAGATGGCCGACCCCGAAGCATCTGTAGCATCTGCGGATGGGTTGACACATCCTGGGCCTAGCCCTGACAAAACCAATTTTAATGTCTGAGCTCAGCAACGTCTCCGCTAATTGGCTTTCTAAAGTTACAAAGGCCCTTACTTGCTCTCGACTGTTTGGGGCAGTGACTTTTATGCGCAAGTCCACTGATGAATTATCAAGGACTTGTCGCACTGCCTCAGCCACCTCAGACTCTACAGTTAGTGAGTCTAGATCTCGGATCTCCACTGTCGCTGTAGGCTTTAACTCGGCTACCGTGGCTGTTTTTTTAACGGTAGCCTTTAGTTTTTCAACTAGTTCTGGATGTAACTTTTCCCCTCTGCTCAGTTCTACAAGGAGTGCCCCGGATCGGGTTTTCCTTATGCCTCTCACRTTTGCCTTTTCRTCYTGTTGGATTGTGCTGCGTATGTTYCGTAAAACATCTACGTAGCTTTGTCCACTTTCAGGTTTTATGAGGACTGCTTCTGAACGGGGAGGTTTCTTCTTGGCGACTGGTTGCAAATATATTAATTATAGTAATAATAATTAATTAATAAAAAAGTCTAAATTGGGTTAGATATAATAATATAGTAGATGTTTAACCCTCTATAGGTACGGCTATTTACTATATTTATATTATAAGAGATAAATATATCTTACTCTTGCAAAAAGTACCAGTATAACTGTTCCATGGAATTATATTGTCAATCGGAATACATTTCTTTAGTAAACTATAATACTTTAATAGGTATATCTGGTTTAATATATTTTTTAGCACTTTGCAAGTAAAAAATATGAAACAGTAATGTAAGTTTACTTTTAAATATATTTTTTAATTAGTAATTTATTTTAGTAGACATTTATAAAAATTACTGTCAAGCAATGTCTCGCATATATATATTAACGGGATCGTTGATCCCTGTTCCTATAAATATTACAAGCTCAGTCGATATTCGTCACTTTTTGGGGCCATAATATTATGTTTCTTTATCGAATCTAAGAAATATACACATATACTTTGAACAAAATTGTCTGAAAAATTTATTTATAACCACACTCAAGATTATTGGAACAGAAAACTTAGCAGCATAAAGTTAAAGTTTCTTAGTTAATCTGCAATGCTCCCTTGTGCTGCCCTTGTGACTATCCGTATAAGCAGTTTATTAGTGCTCGAATCGAATCACCTGCGTCTCTGGTTCTGATTGTTCTACTCTGCAGAGTTAAAGGAACTCCTTTTTTTGCTGTTGTATCTGAATATTTAAATTTCGTATCGTGCGTTGGGCTTGGGTCTTTAAGAGTTGTCGCTTACGAAATCAACTGCAAATCACGACTGGGCAAAAATACATGCAGAATCTACTGTGAATGTGGCTATATTTATGCCGGCAACGGGCAGTGGGCAACAACAACAACAACAACTGCCAGACCGACATTAAGACAGAGAGACAGACGCATAGGCAGACAACAGCAACTGCAGTTCCCACCAAGTGGTGCTTGGTGGTGCTAGAGCTGATGCTGCTGCTGCTGCTGCTGCTGGTGGTGGTGGTAGCTAAACAAAACGTGTGCAACAAACTAAGCCATTTTTGTCGCCGCCCGTCTAAATACCAAACTTGGCTTATACAGCAGCACCCAGCAACAGCAGCAGCAACAACAACGACAACAAAGTGAAAATGTCCTGCGCAGCAGTCGAAAAGTTATAGAAGCAGCAAAAAAAGGCCAAAACCAAATAAATCATGATTCATGACCAAAAGCCACAGAAATGCCAAAAATAAAAGCAAAAACTGCATAAAACTTGACAAAAAATACAAAAAAAAAAAAAAAAAACAAAAAAATGAGAATACAAAAAAGAGAAGAAGAAGAAAGAGTTTGAAGTGGAGGAGGCGACGACACAAACTGTTCGTGATTCGAGCCTCTGACTTTTGCCGAAGCTGCGAGCGCTACGAAAATAATGCGACATATTTTCGAAATAAAAAAAGAGAGAAACAAGAAATA